GTTGTTGAGGTCGTTGTCCTTAAACCAAAGGAATCACAAGAAGTTCCTGTCCTCCTCTCTGACCAGGAAAGAGTGGAACATTTGCTATATGCCCGCAGTGACCGCAATGGACTCTTTCCTGTAGCGAATCAGGACACCAAGGAGGGTGTTATTAAAGTCTGGACCTGTCAAGAGGACATCATTCAACGAAACTCACACATTGCGCGCTGGAATCAAATACCACACGAATTTGTCCAGGCTTTCTCGGGTGGTATATGCCAAAGGTTGGTAGGTACCAATGTTCCTCTTCTTCCCTCAGTGGAGGAGCAACCTCTGCGTGGTCGTTTTCAAATATCTTCTCCATGAAAGAAACGAAGTGGTCTCTCATCTCCGGTTTTCTGTCAAAGTTCCGTCTAAGCACAGAAAGCCGTTTCAGTGCCTGTGTTCAATTGTCAGGAAGGTGGCGCCTCTGGTTCCTGAAGGGAAGGGGGGCTACCCAGTTGTTGCCTTTGTCCTTTTGAAGCCCTTTTTCCATCATCTTCATGAAGGCCCGATCTTCAATTGAGGGAGCTGTTTGGCTATCCTCCTTTGTCCTCTGGAATACTGTGCATCCAAGGTGGTTTCCTTCTTTGTCACAGGTGACATCATCTCTGTGGTAGCCCTGGATGAGACCGGTGGGCAGAGACTCACTGTATCTCTCTTTGATGAGGAAACGATTGGGACAAGGTTTAAAGAGAGATGGACAACCATTCTCTAGTGTGCTTGTGAAGAGAGTGTTTGCGGTCGTTGGTTTGTGAACATTCCCCAAACAAACGTCCCCAACAATGACCCACCCTAGGTCAAGCTTTTGCACTTATGGGGTGTCATGAGGACCATTGATCTGTTCATGCACTTGGTGCACCCTTATGATGTCCCGTCCAAGGAGTAGCAGGATTTCAGCTTGGTGGTCAATTTCAGGAATCTGAAGAGCTAGAGGTCTCAGGTGAGAATGGTGAAGCGCTGCATCTGGAGTGGGAGCATCACCAGGGAAGAAACCCAGCATCTGGTGATGCCTATGTGTCCAACACTTGAGGCAGTCATTGACTGTAAAGGATTTGCAACCTAGTATTAAAACTGACTGTTTAATTGATGATTATGTTAGTTTGTCCAAATACTTATGAGCCCTTAAAGTTGGGGGACTGTGTGAAGAAATGGTTGTCATTCCAACACGGTTCATACTACATTTTTGAAAAAAGCCTTAAATGAAAGCTGAGAGTCTGCACTTAAAGCAGGTATTCATTGTTTCATTTAAAACCCATTGTGGTGGTGTACAGAGCCAAAATGATGACAACTGTATCATTGTCCAAATAATTATGGACCTGACTGTAGTTACTGTAGCATGCTAGTATGGTGCCATGTGCCATGTGAGCTAACAAACGATCATAAAAATCATCATATTGTACATCAAACTTAGCAATAATATGCAACATGCAGCAGCATGTGCAGTCCTGTGGCTGTCCTGTTCTTTATGAACTGCCTTACTGAGTCACATGGTGCAGAGTGTCACATGGTGCAAAGATCAGATTCTTAAAGGCCCACACTACAATAATAGCTACAAACTACTGACAGCAAGAGTAGATAACTAAACTAAAGAAAAAATAATGTCCTGTTGGGGACAGAACAGTATGAATGGGTAGTGGAAAAAAACGTGAATATAAACAGTAGAAATGTGGGAAAAATGCAAAAACAGCATCGTGGCTGTCTGCACATGACCAAGATGAAAGCCTATGTGAAAGTTCAGAGAAATAGGTCAAAGCAGTGAGGAGGAAAACGGTTGATGACAGATGGATGGAAGGACAGAGGTTTCTCCATTTAATAGTAGGATTTATATATAAGAGAGAGTTGGCACCTTGAGGTCTGAGGCCATGGTTCTCTTCCTGAAAATGATAGATTGCCTCTTCCGGGTCGAGAGAGAGTTGCTGCCCCAGGCAAAGGAGTTCAAGTATCTTGAGATCTTGTTCACAAGTGAGGGTAGAATGGAGCATGAGATGGATTAGTTGCTTGGCCAGACTGTTGTGGTGAAGAGAGAGCTGAGCCAGAAGGCAAACCTTTTGATTTACCAGTCCATCTTCATCCCAACCCACACCTATGGCCATGAGCTTAGGGTAGTGACTGAAAGAATGAGATCCCTGATATAAGCAGCTGAAAAGAGTTTGTATCTCATCTGGCCTGGGAACGCCTCAGGATCCTCCCGGAAGAGCTGGAAAGCGTTGCTGGGGAGAGGGGCGTCTGTAGTACCTTGCTCAGCCTGCTGCCCCCGTGACCCAGCTTCAGATAAGCTGTTGAAAATGGATGGGTGGATAATAATGTTTGATATTTACAGTTGATTCCAGTATTTGAATTCTCCTTGACCTGTGTTTCTTGGTACCTGTCTGCCTCTCACTGAATAATGAGCACATACATTATGGAGCTTTATCCCTACCTTTATTCAAGAGAGTGGTCTATCAGTTTGAGAGCATTATTTATTGATTTCACGTTCAAAAACCCTGCCCTTGCACTCAAATAGCCTCTGCTTGCGCTTGGATCTACTCTGTTTCTGCTCAAACTGTGTGCTCGCACTCAGATACCATGTTGCTCGCACTCAGATACCATGTTGACCACACAGATTTCCTGCTCGAGCTTCAGCTTTTTTCCTCGCACTCAAACTGTTTCTGTGCGCTTGCGGAATTTCTGCTCTCAGATTTCTGCCCTGTTCTTGGATTTTTTTGTGCAACAACCCTGTCAAAATCCCCCAACCAATAGAACGCCAGGTTTACTGTTGACCAATGAAATGATCCCTGCCTCCTTGTGGGCTCGCTCGCTTTAGGTTTAGAGCTTCCCGTCCAGGCGGGTACTCTTTAACCGGGTTCATCCACTCTGACCATCCAGGGCTTTATTAAATGCTCTTTCCTTACTTTCTTTACGACTTTTGGATTGAAGCCGATTGTTGTGAATTTGCATCATACGGCTTCCATTCAGACTGCAGCCGAGATAGTGTATGCATTCCCCCAGTGCCAGTTTGTGCATATTCAATATGTATCTAGGAACCTTTTGCAAGCACTGGTTTCTTGTAGGACTGGTCGGAGTGAGAACTAGTTCATGGAAGCTAACGCTTTGGCTAACAACCGCTGCATGTGGAAGCTGCAAATTTGGAGAAAAATGTCCAATATGAGGTAAGTTGTGCTAAGGTAAAAATATGTGCCAGCTTATTGTTTACTTCTACAGCTGACATATTGGAAAAGAATTCATGTGGCGATTAATTTTTACGTTATTTGAAGATTTCTGTCTGTCGCGAATTCGCTAACGTTACATAACAGCAGCATAGAAATAACGCTGTATTTAGGTGTATTTCAGCACTCACATACATTTTCTTTGGGAAAGGACACTCTAGTTAAAGGGATATTGTGTAACATTTTCAGTTGTTTATTGGCAAAAATTGATGTCTGCATTCATAAATATGTCATCACTGGTGTACTATTACCTCCACCAATAATCTGACTTATTCTCGTAAAAGGAGAATTTCGGATTTGTTTGTACATTGTGCGGGTAAGTCGTCTGTGGGGTTCCATTACGTTTCGCCATCTTGAGAATACACCTGCCCACGTGACCGGCGAATTAAAAAAATGAAGGCCCACATCGGGGTAGCCTTTCCCAGGTAGAGAGAGCTGCTGAGGGAGAATGGTAATGCAATCACAGGCCAGCGCCGCTGTTGGCTGTTAGCCGCTGTTACCGGCCAGTTGCTAACAGCCTCATCCCTCTCCTCGCATCACTGCGCCTCTGTTAGCCGCTGTTAGCCACTGTTAGTGCTGGCCTGTGATTGTATTACCTTTCTCCTTCAGCAGCTCTCTCCACCTGGGAAAGGCAACCCCAATGCTGACCCTTGTTTTTTTAATTCGCCGGTCACGCTGCCTTTTTGATTCCCTTTTGCACTTTCTTGGCGACAAGGATTCCGTCTCCCGTGATGCTGCATAATACATGATCCTGCATTATGCTCAAAGAGTGGGACTTTGTTATGCAGCAGTAGTGCCGCTGGCCACTAACAGCTGTTAGCGGCGCAGTAATGCGCGGAGAGGGATGAGGTGTGTGAGGTTGAGCCACTTGTCAGTTGTCAAAGGACAAGACGTGATTGGTTTGTTTCAATTTACATCCGCCCCAACAGTCCTACGTTGTAAACACAGCCAGCATGGTGCTGAGGGGGTTTGTCAACTCGCGTCATGTGTGTTTGTGTAGGAGCCTGAATTGGTAGTATCGGATGACATGGTTTCATCAGTGTTATCATAGCTTTTTGGTACACAGCGGCTACAGTTGTTGCAATACGTGTTTGAAACAGTAAGGCACTAGAGTGCGCCATCTGTTTGAATGCAATATATGATTTCAACGTTAGATGGGAGAAATTCCTACACACTGTGGCTTTAATTTCTATAAACATTATAAAAATAGCATGCATAATGCATAAATGCATTTTTGTAGTTTTTCAGAACACAGAACAAAATGAATGCATCAGTGTTCTATGGGAAGAGACCAGGTGGACTTCAAATCAGGGTTCCACCAGTCAAAAGTGACGACAGCTGCCTCAGTGACAGTGAGTGGGGATAGTGATGAACACTACACTCCTACACCGCGTTGGCACTATCCACTAAGCTAACGATGCCCCTGTTACTGCCGTTTACATCACCTGTTTAGGAGTGTAGTCTGTACGCAGCATGCACAGGCCCCATGCACAGAGGCGCCACAGCGGTCGCAGGCTCGATCCCAGCCTGGGGCCCATCATTCCCCCATTCTTTCTTTCCCCACTTCATGCTGTCCTAAAGCAAAAGGCCAAATAGATAATCTTATAAAAAAAACCCAGCAGTAATAATGCTATAATTTCGTGTAGAGTTTCAGCTTTTTGCGGTTTACACATGGCCATATGTTGGTGAATGTAACCATGTGTACATGATGTGTATATAATGTAGATAAAAATGTCTGCACTCTTACATAGTGATTTCTTTTTTCTACACCAGGTGATGAAAGCAGCAGTAGTGAGAGTACTGACAACAGGAGCAGCAGTGATGAAGACTCCGATGGAAATCACGATGCACTTCCTAGCACCAGTGTTCTAAGTGAAAAGCTTGAGCTCTGTTTCACATTGGATTATAATAGTTGGTGTTATAGTCAGAACATTGAAAATAATTATGTGGCATCAATAAAATCTACATACCTGAGACAGGAAAATGTGTTTTAATATTATTATTATTATTATCTTTTTTTTTCTTCTTTTTTTTTTTACCATTTTTTTCCATTTATGCCTGTTGTCGCTAATTTGCATCATACCTAAATTTATATCTATTCTATGTACAAAAGACAAATTAACAATCTCCACTTAATTTCGCATTAGCTTGAAAGCAAAAGCACATAGCATTAATTTTTAATACATTCAGTCATCAAGGGGATATATATATGTATATATATATATATATATATTAGGGCTGTCAACGTTAACGCGTTAATACATGTGATTAACCTGAAAATAATAACGCGTTAAAGAAAAATTAACGCATGATTAATCGTGTCACATGATCTAGGTAGAGCCTGTCTGTGTGGTCTGTGTCTGTGTCGCCACACCTGCAGCCTGGCAGTGACTAAGGATGGCAGAGGAGGAAGTGTCGGACATTGGCGTTCTACAGAACCAATTTCTGTTTAAAAAAACTCCAGGTGGGAATTTAGATAAAAGCAAAGTTGTCTGCAAATACTGCCGTGACGTTTTATCATACCACCGATCCACAACAAGCCTTAAATATCACCTCAAGGCCAAGCACATTTCTGGTGCGAGTACTAGCAGTGGCGCTAGCACAGAGCTAGCTGGAAGTCAGGTCCGGCAACTTAAAATAACACAGTGCAGCCAAGGTAAGCCTGTCAACAAAGCAACAACAAGTAGACTAACAAATGCAATCTCTAAATGGGTTGCTATGGACTGCAGGCCCATCAGCATTGTTGAAGACCCATTGACCCATTTTACAAAGCACCTTCGAGGGGCACTGTTGTCGCAAGAATCCATGAGCTCTATGACAATGAGAAGTTAATGAAAACGGAGCTGTTGGCTCAAGCTCCGTGTATCGCATTGACTGGCGACCACTGGACATCGGTGAATAACCAAAACTACCTCGGTGTAACAGGACACCTTATTGATGATAAATGGCAGCTGCACTCGTTCGCATTGGGAGTGGTGAAAACTGAAGAAAGACACTTTGCAGACGCATGCGCAAGGCAGTTCATTCAAGTTTCTGACGAGTGGAAAATAACGGATAAGGTCACAACTATAGGAACAGATAGTGCTCGTAACATGATTGCTGCAGCAAGGAGCTTGCCCTTTGAGCATCTGTCCTGTACAGCACACGATACAGAGAGTAATAGCAGTGTCTCTCAGTCACAGTAGGTTTGATGGTGCATTAGCCAAGTGCCGCAAAATCGTGGGACATTTCAAACACAGCCCTGCAAACACAGCTGAGCTGAAAGCACAGCAAGCCTCTCATGGTCAAGACGAAGAGCCACACATCCAGGACGTACCCACTCGCTGGAATTCGACCCTGGGGATGATAACACGAGTCCTCAAAAACAAAGAGCCACTGAAGGCAACACTGGCACAGCAGAAGCACAACTTTGCCCTGCTAACAGCAGCTGAATATGGCAGGCTGGCAAGACTGAAAACACTGCTAGAACCATGCAAGTAAGTTCATTTCCAATTTTATTTTCTGTTGCCTAACAGGCGTAAGAGTAATAGTCATTTTGGTATTGTATTGTTGAAATAATTTTAGGCCTGTTTTTTTAATGGATGTGAAAAAGTGGGAATGAAAAGTGTAGTCATCTGTTGCTCTTGTGTGTGTGTGTGTGTGTGTGTGTGTGTGTGTGTGTGTGTGTGTGTGTGTTTGTAGGTATGTCACTAACCTCCTGGGTGGTGACAAATATGTGTCCTGCTCTGCAGTGCTACCTGGAGGTGACAGATGATGACCCTGCCTATGTCTTACGCTTCAAGACTACATTCAGAGAGGACCTCATCAAGCGGAAGGAGAACCTGAACATGTCATGGCTGAAGGTATGTATGTCACACTAGTGAACTGATAAGGATGGAACTGATAAACTGTGTAGGGAGAAGCAATAATTTCAATGTAGGCTACCTGTACTTATTGCATATGGGAAATTAAACTTTCTTTCTTTCTTTCTTTCTTTCTTTCTTTCTTTCTGTAGGCAGCAACAGCTCTAGATGTGTGAACTAGCTAGTATGCCTAAGCAACTGGTTAAGAGAGAAGTAGTGGACTTCTAAGGCTGTGAAAAGAGACTGTTCATTTGTTTCTGTAATGCCAGGCACAATATGTTAATTGAAGAACTAACTGTTTATTGTTTGTATATTATGGATCCCCCTTACTGTGAAAAGGGACTGTTCAGTTTTCAGATAACACCAGGCACAATTTTGTATTAATTTAAGGTCTACAGTAACTGTGAAACAGGACTGCTCAGGTTTTAATTTGTCTGTAACGCCAAGCACAATTTTATGTTAATTTAAGGTCTAACTGTGAAATGGGACCTGTAACGCCACACAGGCACTAAGAAAAGGGAATGTTCACTATTCTTAATAAAGTAAGAAAAAGAGATTTCTCAGACTAGTTTGTCATTTCTTTATTTCCAACACCACACATCTCCCCACCAAAATACAAAAATATTAGTATTTTAATCGCAATTAATCGTGATTAATCACAGAGTAGTACTGCGATTAATCAGTTAATTTTTTTAATCGTTTGACAGCCCTAATATATATATATATGGTGCACGTGTGGAAATTAACAGTCCCTTTATTCCAAAAGTGGTAAAGAAAGCAAGGGAAGAACATTTAATAAATCCCTGGAGGGTGGGAGTGGATGAACCCGGTTAAAGAGTTCCCGCCCGGACAGGATGCTCTAAAACTAAAGCGAGAGCGCCCGCAAGGAGGCAGAGATCATTTCATTGGTCAACAATAAACCTGACGTTCTATTGGTTGGGGGATTTTGACAGGGTTGTTGCACAAAAAAATCCAAAAGCAGGGCAGAAATCTGAGAGCAGAAATTCCGCAAGCTCACAGAAACAGTTTGAGCGCGAGGAGAAAAGCCGAAGCTCGAGCAGGAAATCTGCGTGAGCAACATGGTATCTGAGTGCGAGCAAATGGTATCTGAGTGTGAGCACACAGTTTGAGCAGAAACAGAGTAGATGCGAGCGCAAGCAGAGGCTATTTGAGTGTGAGGGCAGGGTTTTTGAACGTGAAATTAATAAATAATGCTCTCAAACTGATAGACCACTCTCTTGAATAAAGGTAGGGATAAAGCTCCATAATATATCACAGTGCGTTCACTGCACGTCTGAACGGCAAACTCAGTGAAACCTGTAGATCTCCTGTGCATAGGTAGTGGTTTTCAGAGGTAGGATTTGTTTTCCCAATACGGTATGGATGCTGTTTTAGAAGATTTTTTGACACTCTTGAGACTGATAATGAACATGTGGTGTGTTTGACAGATATCATCACTGGTAACTTTTTTTTCAACAGTTCCACAATCTAAGTATTTGGATCCAATAGTAATTTCGTTTTTTTTTTCTGTTTGGCAGATTTCAGGCGTAGAGCTCGTTATCTTCCTCCTTCACTACAACTCAAACAACCTATACAACCAGGAGAAGGTTGTTGTCATGGGTGACTGTTGCTACGTGAACCCCATGGTGCGCAGGACCTTCCGTTTCCTTGGTAATCTAATTGCATATATGCACTAAAAATAACTCAAACCTATACTGATATTTAGCTGCTATGTGTTATTCATAATTTTGTATATTTTGTGGTTTAATCCAGCCTGCTTCATACTGAATAGCATTTTTAATCAGCAGTCAGTGTCAATCAGTGGTGGTAGTGGTCACCCTGCCAGTAGGCTTTGTCTGGTTTTGGCCAGCTCTCACTGATGTAGGCAGTCCAGGCTTCAATTTATGGGTAAAAAGGTGAAAGGCAAAGTTCTAAATTGTTATGCATCCAAAACACCAAATACACTGTCTCCCAGGTGTTCTGCTTCAGGAGCTAATAAAGAGTCAGACTCATTCAGCCATTATATGAGAAGGTGTTTCATTTTTAACAGCTTAACACTCTGACAAGGTATGTTGTTTGTTATGAAAGAACATTTTATGAGATGCTTTTCTCATTATGGCTACATACTTTCTGATGATGAGAACACCTTTTTTAGCATTGCACAGTTGTAACCACATCAGGACTTGATCAGTTAAAATGTTCCTGTGCAGTGTTGATAAAAATTACTTTAAACATTATAACGACGTGATGGTCTTGTTATACAAAAAACAAGGGTAGTTGTTGTTGTTGTTGTTGTTGTTGTGTGTGTGTGTGTGTGTGCTAAATAAATTGGTTAAAAAATGAGCTTTGCTTAAAAATCAAACACAAACATGGTTTATTCCACCACTGCACTAGGATTTGTCTTCGAGTGTTTCTGCTTCTAGAGCACCAACGTACACTGTCATGTCTTTCCACAAAAGGCGGGAATTCTGGGATTCCAAAAAGAAAAGAAGGAAAAGAAAGACAAAAATAACTTTCTAAGGGACTGTCTGGAGCCTGGAAGGTAAGACACAAGACATGGAGCTCACATGGGATTTTATAAGACAATTTTCGTTACTTATGAGGGGGGAGTGGGTGGTGCAAAAGAAAGGGATGGCAAATTATTTTTTAAGGACAGGGGAGGGCCAGGTGCAATCTGGCCGACTGGCAGGGTATATTAACACCACAAAAGATTCCGTCTGGCTGCGTTACAAACCAACACCACCCGGCAGCATATCCTAATGCCATGAAAGGTGGCTTTTGCCATCCATGTCTGAAACTGAAATAAGCAGTATATGACTACTTCGGAAAGAGAAAGTCCTGGAATGGAATCTGTTAGTGTGTTGTGCTGTTTTAGGCAAATCATTGCTCTCCACACACTGTAGGAACAAACTGTTCTATAACAATCTATAACAATACTACGTGTCACATGGGGACACCAAAATGTTGTGATCTAGGCATCAGTGCTATGTTTTACATGGCAGCACCATTTGTTGGGACTTAAATCTTAACATGGGCCTGACCTCGTAATAGATCTGCAATTAAAGTATCAAATTGGCTATCTGAAATAATTAATAACTTTTAATAATCAATATTAATTATGTTAAATTGTTTATTGAATAATGTTCATTTACATTAAATCACCTTGTGCGGCACGAGATATATAATTGAAAAATGATTTGTGCCAGTTAATGGTATCAGTCTCAAAAGTTTTGATTAACAGTTAAATTAATAATGATAAACAAGATGCTGGAGGCAGCAGGTGGAGGTGTGGCAGCTCTGAGTAAATCACGGTTATCACGGATAAAACTAGAGATTTATACTGCTACTGATGGCAAAACTGTAGTGGAAGATGAATTTTTAAACTTCCTTGTGGTGAAAATGAAGACTGAATGATTGATTGACTGTGAACTACTTTGGGTCTGAGTGGACTGAATTGAGCAAACTAACATCACTTAGCTTAGGCGAAGCCAACTAACCAATAACCTGACAGCAATAACAATAACAATAACACTTCTACTGTTATTATACACGTATGATTATTGTCACATATGTATACTATCAGATATTATTATATACTTTCAACATATTGTACCACAATAGCCAGAATTATAACTATAATATTATTACTTTCATTAATGTTGTTGTAAGCTATTACTGTTACCGTCTGTCCTGCATCTGTCTCTGTCTCTGTCTCTCTGTCTCTGTCTCTCTTTCTGTCTCATTGTGTCATACCAATTACTGTTAATTTATTATGCTGATCTGTTCTGTATGACATCTATTGCACGTCTGTCCATCCTGGAAGAGGGATCCCTCCTCAGTTGCTCTTCCTGAGGTTTCTACCGTTTTTTTCCCTCGTTAAAGGGTTTATTTGGGGGGAGTTTTTCCTTATCCGCTACGAGGGTCCTAAGGACAGAGGGGTGTCGTATGTTGTAAAGCCCTGTGAGGCAAATTGTGATTTGTGATATTGGGCTTTATAAATAAAATTGATTGATTGATTGATCACAACAGTAACTCAATAAACAGCATTAAATCACAATCAACAAGTTAAACAGTCTTGCCTAGTCTGTACATCTATGATAAAGCTATGCCCAGTTTTTACGTTACCAATCCTTGAATGAATGGAGGGAAGAGTCGCTTTGTGGTGTGCTGCTTTTGTTACCCAGCAGGAGAAGGCTGGAAAGAGCTGTGGTTCCAGGTGCAGTCTTTGTTGTATCCTTGTTCCAAAGGTGCAGATCTGAGGAAGCAGCTCGCTCGGGGTCCATGCAGAGTTAGATGATGGGGTGCTAACTCAACTTGGTTCTCCTTGTTGCTGGAAAGTTATTTGCAAACCTTGTGTTTGGCACACTAACTTCTCTGGTTTTAAGGTTTTGGTCCTGTTGTGGGCATGCAGATCATGGTCCAGGAGAAAGACAGCAAGAGTCTGCAGAGCAATTGCCCTCCCCTTAGTGATTTGGGGGCAAGGGCCTCTGAGCTTGTCAGAGCCCATGAGGAAGAGGAAGACCTGTCTGGGCTTATCAAGGCCCAGGAGGAAAGAGGAGAGACTGTGTGAGAGAGCACAACTTTCCCTGAAGTTTGCTTGGTGACATCACAGAGGGGCATATCACTGTAAAAGTACTGTCCAATCAAGTTTGACGACTGGTGTCACTTTTGGTGTGAGGTGGGGCATCCTGTGGACATGAGTATCAAATAACTGTCATATGTTTGAAGAACAAAGAACATGAGGTTTCTTACCATTTCAGATGGCAAGAGAAGAAGCCTTCAGATGTCCAGTTTAGATTGTAACAAATGACAAATTATCTTTAGTCCAGTGAATCCCAACAGATTTCAGACACTAATACATTCTTGTCATTATCACTGAGATGAAGTGCTGCACAACTGTCATTTTTGCATTTGCATCATGGGATTGTTGGCAGCAAGAAGTGCCCAGACTGCTCTTCATCATTAGAATTTGGGGGGGAATACATTGTGTATAAATTTCATATTAATAATGTGGCCATTTAAATAAAATGACAGAGGTGCTTTTTTTTTTTTAAGATACTTTTTGGGACATTTTGGCCTTTAATCGATACAGACAAGCGTGAAAGGGAGAGAGAGAGAGGGAGTGACATGCAGCAAAGGGCCACAGGCTGGAGTCGAACCCGGGCCGCTGTACATGGGGTGCCTACTCTATGCCACCGACGCCCCGACAGAGGTGCTTTTAGATGCTGCTTTTAAATGATTCTTACAAGATTCTTTTTTCGTTATGATGACAAATGTTTGAAGTAATGATGTTGTTTATTGTTGTTTCTGTTTCATGTCAGTGACATTGTTTTTTTCATATAGCTAATTCACTCATGCATGCACATTTGTGTGATAGAAGGTGTCATGTTAACACTGTGGCATACACTATATTAAGTGATAGATTATACCATGCTCCTCTCTAAAATCCTTTAAAAAATCCTGAACTACTCCCTATTGTTGGCTTCTTTGGTATTGCTGGTGGAGACGACCAGGCACCATATGGTGACTTATGCTTTGCTCTTGGCCAGACGTGCAATCTTGCTCAAATGGAAGGAGGCTGCCCCGCCCACATCTGGCCAGTGGCTTCGAGATGTAATGTCCTGCCTAAAATTGGAGATACTGCACTGTCTGCCAATGGTTCAGAGAAAAAAATTGTAAGACCTAGGGACCCTTTCCGTCTTATTTTCATAACACCCAACAACATCAGCTCTCAATGTGTTCTAAAAGTAAAATCTGATTCCATGGATATTGCTACTTTGCTCATTAAATCCAGACATTGTGCCTTAAAAGTATTTAAAGGGAGGAAAAAAAACGAGGGACAGGGGGATGGGTGGGGGGTAGTAGGGAAGGGCTGTTGTATCATATAGGGTATTAATTTGATCGCCTCAGGGTTATGTTTACTTTTGTTTGTATTGTACACTGATGTGTATTGTGTGGTATTGTGGAATGTGTCTGCCCAACCCAGCATTTTTTCTTTTTGAAAACCTTAATAAAAAACATTTTGAAACAAACACAAAATACCATGCCAACATCTAGGCATTACCTATGTTGATGCAGTGGCGTAATGTAACTAATTACATTTACTCAGGGATTGTGCTTGTGTAGAAATCTGAGGTACTTGTTGGCTACTCTACTTAAATATTTCCATTTTATGCTACAGTATTGATACGTACACTGTACTACATAAATATTGTGCTTCTTACTATTATTTTGACAGTTACACTATAGTTACTTGTTACTCTGCAAATTAAGATTCTACATCAGAGTGCTTTTCCTTATGATACATTAGTACATTTTGCTAATAATATTTATGTTCTTTTATTTAAATGTGCAATGTATAATGCCTGGCCACAAGCTCCAAAGAAATAGGGGGCAGCATTTCACCAGCCCACTACTGGGTCCATTCAATCTACATTAACAGTCATCAGTTACTGAAAAAAATAAAATAAAATAGCTAATATCAGCACAGCAAGAACATGTTAAATTCAACAAAACTGCTGAAACTCTTAGAGCCAGTCAAACTAACACTGGTCTTATAATCTTTGTGTGTAGCTTACGTTGCATCTTTCTTAGCTCAGTTTTAGCTAGATCATCATAGCAAACAAACAGGCACAACAAAACCATATATCAAATTTTAGTTCATTCATTCATTCATTCGTTCATTTTCATTTACATATCCGGGGCTGGGTCTTGAGGGCAGCAGGCCAAGCAAAGAACCCCAGACGTCCTTTTCCCCAGCTAGGCCTTCCAACTCCTCCTGGGGGATCCCGGGGCATTCCCAGGCCAGACGAGATATATAATCTCTCCAGTGTGCTCTGGGTCTGCCCCAGGGCCTCCCACCAGTTGGACGTCAATGTACACCTCTTATAGGAAGCACCCAGGAGGCATCAGATGCCAGAACCTTCTCAACTAGCCCCTTTCGACACGAAGGAGCAGCGGCTCTACTTCGAGCTCCCTCTTGATGTCCAAGCTTCTCACCCTGTCTCCAAGGCTGAGCCCAGCTACCCTTTGGAGAAAACTAATTTTGGCCGCTGGTTTCCGTGATCTCATTCTTTCAGTCACTACCCAACGCTCATGTCCATAAGTGAGGGCTGGGATGTAGATGGACCAGTAAATCAAAAGCTTCACCTTCGGGCTCAGCTCCCTTCACCATGCCGGTCCAGCGCAGTGCCTGCATCACTGCAGACGCTACACCAAACCGCTGATCCATCTCACGTTCCATTTTACCTTCACTCATGAACAAGACCCAGATACACTTGAACTCCTTTGCTTAGGACAGCAACTCCCTCCGAAACCAAAGGGGGCCATTTTTTTATTTTTTGTATTTGGAATATTTTTTGGTGCACTTTTTGTGGTCATTAGTTGCACTTAAAATATGTTTTGCCAATAGCCACTGTTAAATGTTAAATAATGGTCTAACATAAATGTTGTGTGGGCTTAGCTTCAAACCAATGGGTGTTTCAAACAGGACGGGCCAGGGCTAGCTAGCATGCTTATACGTAGACGACTTTGACATAACAGACACTGTTACTTCTTCACATTTTGTTGATGATGGTAGTTAATTTTTGGAAAGCTTTAAACCAAAATTCTGCCCATATGGTACACATTGTACTTTTAAGTAACATTTTCTTTGCACAACCTGTACTTGTAATGTATGTTAATATAGGTGTATTACTTTTACTGAAGGATCTGAATTCTTCCTCCACCACAGTGTTGATGTGATTTAACTAAAGCTTGAATGGGCTGTCTCATTCTATGTTATGTTCTATGTTCTATGTTATGGCAACATGCTGCTTTTAAATGTGTTGAATTGTAATCATATCATCTCTGTGTGTTTCTCTGTAGGTGTGTATGTCTTTGGTCTGTTTACAACAGACATATTTGTCAACACAGGTCAGCTGGTCACAGGATGTCTGGCTCCTCACTTCCTGTCTGTTTGCCAGCCCAATTACACAGCCCTCGGCTGTCTGGACACAACGCTTTTTGTCAGCCAATCAGATGCTTGCACTGGTGACCCTGATGACATCATGAGAGCCAGAAAGACTTTCCCCTCCAAAGAGGCTGCGCTGAGTCTGTATACGGCTGTTTACCTGGCAGTGAGTGGCTCTGTTTAATGTAACAGCTGCTGAAGATGTGCAGAGACAGAGACAAGCATAAAAGATCCCCATGCAGTTTATTTTTACCCAACACATTCTCACTCCAACCTCGTCACATATCAATGTTTGGTCATGGACTTTCCATGTCGATATATGATGTGCAAGTCACCCTGGGTGCGTTGGTTGTTGACGTTCTGGGACACTGTGTCAACTTCAGCCTGTTTTATGCATTGTCTGTTTTCAAAATACATATCCATTTTTACAGTAAATGTACAGTTTGCAAACAGTCTCTTTCAAAATAAGTGCACCATGTCAGTAAAACACCACAAATTGACATTTTTTCCCATCAAAAACAAATGCACATGGTTTGGTTTAGCCAACACACACACGTGGTTGGGATTAGGAAAAAAGAACAGGGTTTGACTTTACAATCTTACAGGAAGCAAACGATATAAAAGGATGGCTTTTTTCGTTGGTGTTTGACAGGGAAGTCTCTGACCAAGCGCTGGTATTCAGTGACTTTAGAGTGAGACCAGGTTGCTTTACCACTGAGTATAAATCTTATTGTATCTCACCATATAACACTGGTTCTGAATAGTGTCACAGAAATAAAGTAACCATCCTTTTCAGATGTACGTCATGTCCTGTGTCGGTTCCAGAGGAGGCCGTCTGACTGGACCCCTCGTCAGCCTCTCATTGGTCAGTCTGGCTGTGCTAACAGGCATCAACAGAGTGGCCGAGTACCGAAACCACTGGAGTGATGTCATTGCAGGACAAGCCATTGGGGGAGCTATTGCTGTATTTCTGGTCAGTTCATTACTACTGACCATTTCAAGATAAAACCACCAGAGCAGACTCAATAAATACTTCTGTCAGACAAACAATTAAATAGTTATTACTCACCTATGATGCATTATCATAATCCACTGATCCATATTATTCAGACAGAATCACAGCATACACAGATCCCATTTCAGTTTTCACACTGACAAAGGTCCAGATGATCTAAATCTAGTGAAATATTAAGTCCACTCCAAACACATTATTACAACCATAGATATACACAAACTGCTGTTGCATCAGTTTTAAACACCCATATTTCTCCACATATTATCAATAATTTCTCTGTCCTTCATGTAAACAAACTGACTGGACTATCTCAAAGTGGAGGTGAGCTACTGACCTTTCCACTGACACCTCATTTGAGCCAATAGGAGCTTCCAGTGCTGTTGTATGGCCTTACTGGCCAAATGAGGCCTAAGCTGAAGACACACATTTCCTGTAGTTTAGAGCCATTGATTGGCCAACCTCACCCGGGGCTTATGGGTCTTGTAGTCAATAACAAATGAAGCTCCACAGCAGATGTGAACTCCTTACAGGCAGCACTCATGTACAGAAATGGCAAACAAATGGCTCCTCTGATGTCTTACAGGGAAAAAAAACAGTCTTTCTTATCAAATTAGGTTTTCTGGAATTGTGTTTATATTGAGTAAGGTCCTAAATAGACTTTTCTGTCTGTGCTGATTAGTTTTTTCACATTTATATTGTTTTACCCTCTTTAAAAAAAAAATAAATAAAAAAATAATGAGGCTTCATGTTCTCTATCGTTCTAGGCTTCCCCTCCACCCAGAGATATATTGTATATATCTCTTTTGGAGACCTGAACCCTTGGGTCACGTGACGTGGATAATTTCTTTAAGACAATCCACCTGTGGTCGTGGCTGACAGCCTATATAAAGCCCTGTCAACCACACCTCCAGTGATTTTTCTGATTCCATTTGGAGCAGTGTGGTGTGTGTCGCTGTGCTTCTTTGAGACAATTCTATCTTCTGTCTTTCTACAAAAAGAAAACTTTCGTTTAGCAATGCTAACAAATACACAGTCCGTGCCGCTTACCTCACGGGGTTTGAGAGAGGGTGATTGCCTCTCACGGTGGCTGTGTTGCCGTCCTTGCTGTCGCACTCTTGGTGTTGGCATATTGTCTCTGTGGAGAGGCTTCCGTGCCAGATAACACCAGGGTCTTTATCCCGGTCCCATTTGGCCGAGGGGAGAAGGATCCGTGAGTTTGTTGATAGTGTTGAGCGTGTTGTCCCTGTGCGGGGATTTTCTTCATGTTACCGACATAGAACTCTCTTCTTTGTTCGCTGGGGCATTGAGAAGGAGTTTGTGGGTTATTAAAGTTGCTGCCTGTCCCTTTGTTTGTACATTGCACCATTCATACACAATACATTCCACAATCCCACAGTTTTACCGGTAAAAGTTTGGCAGGAGGCGTGCAGGGAGAGCCAGTTTCCGCGTGGTGATCCCGCGAGGGTGGGGTTATCGTGAGATTTGGAGAAATGGAGTCAATAAGCCATTTTTGTGTGGTGTGTGGCGTTCAATTGCCCACTGAGGATGGGCATGATGTGTGTTTGCATTGTTTGGGGGAGGAACATGCTGCGGCAGTCGACAATCCATCCTTCTGTATGGATTGTTCTATTTTGCCAGCACAATCCTTAGAGGCTCGGCTTTGTGTGTTTAGGGTGAAGCGTAGGTGGGGGCGAAGAGAGTTTACACCATCCATAGTGCCCCAGCAGTCTAAGTGCCTCAAGATGGGGGATTTTGGAGGCAGCTCCTTTGTAGATTCCCGCCCTAAGTCCCCTCCCAGGTCCTTCTTGCCTGGTGACACGATCAGAATCAGAAGGCCCGAAGCTGATGACCAGGAGGATGTGGAGGAGGAAGTTGATGTGTTAGGGTTATTGGATGATGCAGATGCTGAGGGGATGATTGAGGAGAGTGAGACCAAAGAAAGTAAGCACTAGCAATTCAGAAGCTTGATTGAGAGGGCTTCTCAGGCTCTTGGGCTCGGACCAGTATTAGGTCAAGCTCCTCCCCCCTCACGCTTTGATGAGGATGATGATCTCCCTGATACGGAGATGCCTTTTGCAGTGCCTCTCCTGCCTTTAAAGTATTCGCACCCTCGTCCTGGTGTGAGTTACAGAGACATTTTAAAATGGATTACCTGCCAAGTATGGAACATTTTAAAAGTAGGATTAAGGACTATTTGAGTACTGAATGTACATGTCCTGTTACTGAGCGCTTCTGGTGATTATACTGTCTCGAATGAATTGCCAGCTGTTTTGTAACTGTTTGTTTCATGTTGTCTGTTTTAACCTGCTGTGTTTTTAGGGGAACTATTATGCTTTGGCCTAGTCCTTTTGGCCAGGACTCCCTTGCAAAAGAGATTCTGAATCTCAATGGGACTATTTCCTGGTAATTCAAAGGTTAAATATAAAAAAAGATGTGGAACACCTGATGCACAAGGCATTTGAGAATCCCACGGCTAAGCTCTCCTTTACTGCTACCACCAGACGGATGTCTGCCATGCAGGATAAGGAGAAGGTGGGCTGTGGTTCTTTGCCTCAGCTAGACCAGTCGGTTTCAGCCCTCTTATTTCTGGCCAGCTCTGTGTTAGGGCTAGCTACTCCGTCAGGGGACTGCAAAATGCTGGATGCCTCACTGGCTAGACTGCACAGGTCTATGGAAGTTCAGACTCAACTGGTGAATACCGGGTCCGTCTTAGTGCTGTACCAGCGGAAGTTGGTACATCAGCTGAGCACTGGGGCTGATGCCCGTCCTATTTCTGAGATACAGCTCGTTTCATCTATGTTGTCATCACTGATTAAAGAGCAAACACTGACTGCCAGGAAGGTCATGTCATCATTCTGGGTTACCAGGCACCAGCTGTATTTGTCCAGATCTAAGTTGCAGTCAGAGGACAAGTCGTACCAACAGCCATGTTTGGGCCTGGTGCCACTACTCTTTTGCAACGGGCACAGGAGGCCCACTGTTGTGCTAAGGAGGTCTCTAGTGCACTGACCCCCAAGGCCAAGCCCAGGTGGTCTGGTCAGGCTGGGGATAAGAGGATTCAGGGCCCCACATAGGCACTTGGATCAGGCTGGGGGCCTGGTGACCTGAGGGCTACCCTGGATGCTTGCCACGGTCGCGCCGGTGCAGCCAGAGAAGCTGCCAGAGGCAAAGTGGGCAGAGCCTTCATCTTCTTCCTGACACCAGATCACATCCAGCCTGCCTCCAGCAAACTCAGGCTTGAGTGGCAGCCTGGGAGTCAATGAATGCGAGCCCCTGGGTGGTTTCAACCATGACCCAGGGGTATCGTATTCAGTTTGCTCAGCGTCTCCCAACCTCAGTGACACCTACAGTGTTCACGGTGGTGGACGCAGAACGAAAAGCAGTTCTCCAGACCGAGATTTGTACTCTGTTGGGAAAAAGGGCCATCAGGGAAGTACCTCACGGCAACAGGCAGGCTGGGTTTTACTCGCTATTTTCTCATCCCCAAGAGGGATGGGAAATTGCGACCCATTTTAGATCTCAGGGGTCTGAACTGGCATCTCAGGTGGCTGCCTTGCAAAATGTTGACGATTCCCTGGGTGAGACAGTCCATCAACAAAGGGGACTGGTTCACAAGAGTAGATCTGAAGGATACTTACTTTCAGATTCCAATCTGGAACAGGCATTGGCGTTTTCTCCGCTTCGTGTTCAACGGCAAGGAATACGAGTTCCAAGTCCTGCCGCTTGGTATCTCTCTGGCTCCGCGCACCTTCACAAGGTGCATGGAGGCGGTTCTTGTGCCTCTACGGCAGAAGGGGATACGAATATTGAATTATTTAGACGATTGGCTCCTGTGTGCACATTCGGAGGCTCAGTGCTGGGCGCATCTGACTCTCCTCCTAGACCACATTTAGCACCTTGGCCTGCATCTCAACCTAGAGAAGAGCAGGCTGGAGCCATCTCAAGAGACACAGTTCCTGGACCTAGTTATAGATTCCCACGCTGGTCTACTTTCTCTGACAGAGGAGAGGCAGCTGTCTCTCAGGTCCAGTCTCTCTCTATTCAGGCTGGGGGCCGGGGTCACATGGAGGCTGTGTCTCTGCCTTCTGTGCCTGATGGCGTTCTCAGTCCAAGCAGTCCCTTTGGCTCTCCTACACATGCGGCCAGTGCAGAGGTGCATCCTGGGTCTGGGTTTGGGTCCCAAGAGTCGCCTGGATACCACGGTGCTTGTAACCAGGTGGTTGCGGGTGGCTCTCCATTGGTGGGAGGACAGCAGGAATTTCTCCAAGGGCAGTCTGCTGGGTCCAGAGACAATCCTCCCCTCAGAGCAGACGCTCTGGCTCACCCATGGCCAAGCGTCCTGTTGTACGCCTTTCGCCCCTTTGTCCTTCTTCCGCCCCTCCTTGGGAGGGTACGGAAGGAAGGAATGAGGCTGATTCTGGTGGCCCCATATTGGCCACACATGACCTGGTTCATGGACATCCCACCGTTGCTGGACGGGACTCACTGGGAGCTCCCAATACGTCGGGACCTGCTGTCCCAGGCTCGCGGGACTCTGGTTCATCCCGTTCCCCAGGGGCTCAGGTTGTGTGCATGGCTCCTGAGGGGTCTGAATTGTTAGTTACGGGGTTATCTCCTTCAGTGGTCTGTACACTGCAGGAGGCTCATGCACCATCTACAAGATCGCTCTACACATACAGGTGGAGGGCCTTAGCAGCCTGGTGTGGGGGGCACCATGTTGACCCAGTAACTTGCTCAGCCCCGACTATCCTGCAGTTCCTTCAGTGTCTTTTGGATGCCGGGAAGTCGCTTTCAACTCTAAGGGGTATGGTGGCGGCGATTAAGGCAGCTTGGATGGGACACTACCAGTTGCCTGAAGAGGCAGGCAAACTGGTTTCCCAGTTCCTTAAGGGTGCTAGGCCACATGCTGGTCTGTGTTCCAGGCCGTCTCTCCCACCCTGGGATTTGGAGCTGGTCTTAAGGGCTCTTGAGGTACCTCCGTTTGATCCTTTGGAGTCAGTGGACCTAAAATGGTTGTCCTTTAAGTTTGCTCTTTTATTGGTGCTGGCAACAGCCAAGAGGGTGGGGGAGCTCCATGCTCTCTCTGTACATGAGCATCTGTGCAGGTTCATGCCAGAGGGGGCAGGGGTGGTCCTACGTCCAAACCCTGCTTTGCTTCCTAAGGTTCTGTCTCCTTCTCAGCCGAACCAAGACATGGTGGTACGGTCTCTCCTCTCCAACTCAGCAGAGGAAGGTGATCGTAGGCACTCACTTGTGTGCCCAGTTAGGGCACTCAGGGTGTATTTGCAACGGACACGGTGCCATAGGCAGACAGATCAGCTGTTTGTCTGTTTTAGGCCAGACCTCCGGGGTCAGCCGCTGTCCAAGGCCTGTCTTTTTCACTGGATTATGGGAACTATCCAGCAGGCATATGTAGGGGCAGGGGTGACCTTCCCATCTGGGATGCAGGCACATTCAACCCGGGGCATGGCTACTTCTTGGGCGTCATGGCGCAGTGCGTCTCTCGATGAGATTTGCACAGCAGCTACCTGGTCTGCCCCATCCACATTTGCAAGATTCTACCAGTTCAGTGTGGCTGCAGGCACATCGTTCGGTGAGCGAGTTCTTGGCTTGGCCGAGCAGTAGTGAAATATGGTTTCCCTGTCATGCCAGCCTGTGTGGCTCACCTGAGTGGCCTCTCCACCCCTTTAATCATGCATCTTGCATCTTGCGGAGCTGGCTAGCCTGGGGTGTGTATATAGTGTACATTTGTATATAGTTCATTGGGCACAGAGTGTATTTTGTAGAGCACTTTGGTGGCGGGGACGTATCATTTGAAGTTGATGCTGTAACCCTAGTTCTCTGAGTGAAGAGGCTTCCCCTCCACCTCGAGGGCGCTCTGGGATTCGTTCCATCATATCTAGATCACTGGGGGCGTGGTTGACAGGGGTTTATATAGGCTGTCAGCCACGACCACAGGTGGATTGTCTTAAAGAAATTATCCACGTCACCTGACCCAAGGGTTCAAGTCTCCAATAGAGATATATACAAATCTCTGGGTGGAGGGGAAGCCTCTTCACTCAGAGAACCAGGGTTACACATGTAACCTCACGGTATGGCCCTATTGTGTTTTCCAGCTAATACTTCCCAGTTCCGGTCATTTGCAGCTTTTTTCAAGAAAACATTCAGATTTGAAAAAAACAACAACTTTTATGTTAGTGTGTTGAAACTTCTATAAGTCAATACAGAAGCACTTACAGTGATTCTTACTGTTGAGGAAAAACCTCTGAGTGTTACCTTTCAAATTAGACCATGCATGTATATGCACTAACAATGGAACAAAAAAAGCTTTCAATTTACTATAGGAATGACTTGGACAGGCATTTTAGGTGAATTTAGGTGAATTTACACTACATCAGAGATGGGGGACTCGAGTCACATGACTTGACTCAAGTCAGACTCGAGTCACAAATATGATGACTTGAGACTTGCTTGACTAACGTTGATAAAAGACTCGACTTGACTTTGACTTTGTATTCATGACTTGAGACTTGACTTTGACTTGAGACAGATGACTTGAAAGGACTTGGCTTTAATTCAATATTAAAGGCACGCTAAGCATCGTTGGGTGTCACTTCTGTTTACGTTCAACAATGTTATCAAACACAATGGAGCTAGCTTACCAAATATTTTTCCTTGAGCTTTTTGAAGTGACTGGTGGAAAATGCATGACTCTTCACCATGAATTAGATTTTTAAAATTTAGCTGAGTTCATCTGATGAACATTAAATGTGTTATTTAAAATTTTCACTGCGCTCCTAAATTTCTTTCTGTGCTCCTAAATTTTTTCACTAGGAGCACATGTGCTCCTAGTGAAAAAGGTTAGCATAGAGCCCTGTTTGAACTCTGTTTTTAGCCTCATTGTAGCCTGTAGCTCTAACTACCTCTCTGGGCATCGCGTTCACGTGTGCGTGCTTGCGCGAGACTGTGAGACATGGGAATCGCGTTCATGTGTGTGCGCTTGCTTTCACTGGTCTCTCGCTGGCTGGTTGGTACATCATGGACCCAAATGTTTTTATTGCCATTTGCGGAGCCTTGGCTGCCTACAGATACCAGACTTTTTCACAGCATATTCAGAGGACATGTAGCTAGCGGATTGTGAGGAGATGTTTGCTGTATGTAACATATGACTTGACTTGTGACTTGCTTGACCTGAGCAATGACTCGACTTGACTTGCTTGACTTATAGGAGGGACTTGACTTGACTCACCACAACTAACTTGGGACTTGCTTGAGACTTGAAGGTAAAGACTTGAGACTTGCTTGTGACTTGCACATGTGTGACTTTCCCCCATGTCTGCACTACATGTACTGTAAACATTTCCTCATATAAAGGGAAAAGGCAGGGAGAGTTTAAAAGAAGTTGGAGTCAGAGTATAAATTTACAAAAGGGTTAATCATTTTAGAAATCAGTAAATCCATTAATAAAATCAACGAAACGGTCAACGCAAATGAAATCAAGTTTTTCTTTTGCAATAAACAAAGGCTGATTGTCCTGCTCCTCACATCCTGCCACTTCTTTGAACTCTGATGATAATATTGATTTAAAATGATATAATGAATGACTTTGCCTCACAAAGGAATCCCAGAGCTTCTTTCCAGAGAGTCAGACCACCACTCTGCCACTCTTCATTATTAAGTCACTTAACCAAATATATTTAGGCACTTTTCTTAATAGAAAACTGGTCTAATGGACAAAAATGCTGCAGGACACACATACACAATGCACACAAGTTGTTGCTTGAATGAACTTGAATTCCTTTTTTGTGTCACAAGTCAAGCACGACAGTCTTGTCGGGTAAAAAAGCTGGGTCACAGAGACAATGTCATCAAAAATGACGAAGCTTTGTCTCAATACCTCAGTAGCACAGGTTACCTAATACAGGTCTCTGTATTAGGCTTACTCTTTTGTCGTATGTCTGTTTTTGTCTACATATGTTCCTTGTGATTTACAAATGACTTATTTTGGTCATGCAAATAGTTGTCTTATCTGGAAGGAATTGTGTGAAATGATTAAGATGGCTGTATGTAACTGTAACCAATGTCTCTTCCTCTCTCTGTCTTTCCAGGTGATGTTTGTGGTTCAGTATTTTAAAAAGAGACCTGTGATTTCTCAGAGTCCCTCAGACACAGGCACAGCAGACACTGATGAGGCTTCTCCCCAAAGAAATCACAGCATGGAAGCCAGTGACAAATACATTGTTACAAAGGTAACACTTTTATACACGGAAAGGTTTGTTTTCAGTGCACAACATACCATTCTGTAGATGAAAACCAGTATGTCCATATGTACTGTTTTAATGACATGACATCAGTTGATAGTAGACACATATCAAAAGTTTAACCACTGTAGTAAAGGGAGTGTCACTTGTCACAGTGTCTTGACAATTATGAAGGAGTCTAACAATACAGAAATGTTCACAATACTCAGAGCACCATTAAAACTTTCAACAGTTTTCAGGACAACTCAAATAATGAAGATCTCAATAATATGTAGCAATTTACAAGTTCTCTTTGAATTTTTAATTTAAATGTGTTTGCTGTTCTTCTCCAACAGAGTCCAGGATCCTTCACAGAAGTCACATGACTATGAACCCCCCCCACTGCATGACCAGGGGGAAATGGAAGTCACCTGTTCTACGTCACATTAGGACCTTCATATTCAAAGACCTTATTCTCTTTAAGATCCTTTTTGCAGCATTTGGAAATAATCAGTTATTACCACCTTAATCTTGACTAATGAGTGTAAATGTGGCAAACAAATGGTCACTACATGCATCTGCTTTTGTCTTGCATGATGCCAAATCAGTTTTGCTGGATATCTGCTTTATCCTCAGCTTCTTGTGCGCAGCAGGAAGTGGGTGCTTTTCTTCCACAATGAAATCTGGCAGGCGCAGTTCAAAAAGAAAGGGAAAAAAAGCACAAATGTGTTATTAATTTTGGCAATACCATTGGTGTCAGACAAAAGCTGCTGTCACTTTAAACATAGTCTGATTTGTTTACTTTAATTATACCAAAGCCTATGATGCTACACTGTAAATAATGGTAGGCTACATGTACAAACAAGTTCTTCATGTCTTCATGTCTATGGAGATATGCAAAGTCTTGGGCTGTTGTAAAACTGCGCGTACTTGGGGCAACAAAAAAGTTTGTCTTGGGTGCATCGATACAATAAACAAACTAGAAAGGATGGCAGAAGAGGTATCCACACAGCAATGTTACTGCGCTAGAAAGCCACAAAAAGGTCCACAGGCTGATATCAGTGCAAAAATAGTCTATTTATTTAAGATATCTGTGCACAAAAAGGTGCACAGTGAAAAAATATTAAATTAAAAACAGCAGCAAATGTTTAGGTCCTCATACACTATAGCACTGATGATAGTCCTTTTTGTGGCTTTCTAGCCCAGTTACATTGGTGTGCGGGTATCTCCTCTGCCATCCATTCATGTCTAATATGACATTACATAAAACAGTGGACCATGAATTCATAATATATATCATAGAATATTAGTAGTAATCCATAGGTTTTAGGGTGTGTAAAGGGAAAATTGAGTGAAATCATGTCGGTCACTTTGTGTTGGTTGCATCTGTGTTTAATGGTAGTTTGATTGCATAACTTCCAGTTTTGTTGGTTTTGTATATCTCTGTTTAGTAATGTATTTGCATGTTTTAGTTCTTTTTTGTTTGTTTACCGTTCTAATAAAGTCTGCTGTATATCCAAACGTTCCAGAATTTTAAATAAAAAAATCTCAGACACTGCTAATCAAAATGATGATAAGACCTGGTCTCATAAGCCAGTATGATGTGTTCTGGGGCAGTAGGTATTTACTTATTTTAGTCAATAAAAAATTATAGCTTCATATACTGTAGCTGTTGATATGAATGCATATTTGTCTCTTCTGATAAGTGTACAAATGTAAATATACTATGGATTTAGTTTCGCCATGAAGTAGGAACTTAAATCAAGTTGCCATGAAGCTGTCACAAGTGATTTCTCAGACTGATGCTGAAACTTTTGACATTGTTAGTGCAGTGATGTGATGACTTCTTCAATGCATCATCTGTAGGGATGTTTAGGTGTCTGGGCTTCAGTGGATGGTGAAATGAATGAGAAAGGCCTCAAAACTACAATGTTGATTTTAAGGTTGTACAGTAGCAGAAGTCAAAATCAGTTTTATTGTTATTGTCTGGTTGGGTTGAAACCCCCCCCCACCCCCCTGCCTAATTAAATGTAAATCCCATTTTAAGTCAATCTGACTGTGCTGTCTTTGTTCAGATTTACACATTCATCACATAGTATTAGTATTATTATTATTAAATTATTATTATTATTAATATTATTATTATTATTATTAGCTATAACAATGACCTATAATAACTATAAGCCTGATACTGACACAAGAGTCAGCAACTGTTTGTTTTTGGGTGGGTTTAGAGGGCATGTTTTCTTTAAAAATATTACCCAAATTACACCATTTAAAATGGGTAGAAACTGTAAAAACAAAAAATATTGTTGGATTTTTCAAAAATTTCCAATAGTCCTTGGACACATCATGTGTGACGAACTCGTCCATCAGGGAAAAAAAGCATAAAATATTGATATTTAATCAAAATCACTTTATTGTACATCTCATTTAATATTTGGCTAAAAATAAACCATTTGCACAAACCTACCAGCATGCACAGAATGAAAAACCGAGGCTGTTTTCAACTCCAGGATTTTATCCTCACCTTTAACTTTCAAACATCACAGGGTAAGTTTTAAAAATATAATAACTCATTCATGGTGGAGGGAGGGTAATGTATGTTCCATATTTTAGCTTTAGGGAGAGTCAAAAACAAAAAACAAAACAAAACAAAAAACAAAGTCACACTGCAACCAGCCCCTCCTCTGACAAATAAAGAACAGTCCCATACAGTCACTTTAAGAACACTTGTTGGTGAAGTAGAGGTTTATGTCTCTGGTCTCTTCAGGACTGTAGACCACACCACACAGCATTTTGAGAAGTCAGTCAGGGACTGTCCATAAATGACACAAGACTCCCATCTGCTGCACTCTGACTTCACTGCAGCTGTCTGATGAAATGAATAAAGCCATCAGATAAAATATTATTAACCAATCGCACTTGAGTACTCATACTTGAGGGCTCACTATTAGGCATGTGCCAGTGTAAAAGATTATATCACAATATCACCACCACAACAACTGTTTGATAAATAAAAACATTCAGCAGTGTTTTGACTTAAAGTGCTTTCATAGAGCATGTATTTTTCTAAGTACATTATTTACTGTAAGCCATATTTGAAGATTTGTTTTGGTCATTCCATTAATGAGTTTAGCCAAATACACACTGTGCTCAGAAATAAACATTTTGACCCATTACAAGCCCATAACGACTCATTTCAATTTCAAAACATGCAGTTTTCCTTATGAACATAAGATGTTTCTATTAATGCACGTACCAAAACAATATAGGATAAGACATTTGACCTCACGTCCACAAACAAACCAATCAAGTGGGTTATTGCTTTCTGTGGGGTTATGTCACTGTTTTACTATTTGTCTTTGCTTTTGTACTTTTGTGTTTGCTTTTACTGTGTTTTAATATGCTATCAACCTGCCAGGGACTGCAGATTGAAACCCATGATAATAATAATATTATAATAATATTGATATATTTAATATTTGTAACTGCACATGTAAGTGAAGGATTTCGTAGACAACTGTGGACCTGTCATCCGCAGTTACAGACCAGTCAGCAGTTCAGAGTTAAAAAATGTTTTTTTGTCAATGGACTTTTTTTCCCCACCTAACAAATATATGGTAACAGAGAGCTCTTTAACTACGGATGTCACACAGAACTTCAGATAAACAGACGGAGGACTTAAGTAGAATTTCTAGTACCGACAGTGATCTCATTGCGATTGGCTGACTCAACAGCCAACTGTCAATCAGATGTGACAATATACTCTCACGCATAGCCCCGCCCACATCCACCTGCAGCCCTGTGGTCTCCCCGCGGGACAGCCACAACCGCCCAGCACGAGAGAGAAGAGGGCCTCTACTAGGTAAGCTAACTGAACACAGTTTTCTACAGGTTTATCTTTAATAGTATTAATGGGTATTAAGTATTAAGTATTAAGTATGTAAAGCATTAAGTGTTTTCTAGCTGTGTAGATATGTAATAACATGGACCACCGACTATTAAACTAATTTTGTCATTACGGACTTTAGTCTGCCAACATGCAGCAGCATTTTTTTCAAAGCTTCAGATACAGTCAGGTAGCTAGTTAAAATCCGTTCAAAAAGCCTATTCAGAGCATTTATGTTGACAAAGTGATGAGCCTGAGCAACATACAATAAGTGTAGCCTACTGCTCAGCAAAGCAGTTAACTCACTGGATGTTGGAATTACCAAGTTTTAGATAGGAAAAATGTTGTAATCTGATAAACTGACTGACCATTTGAATTGGCCTACAAGAGAGAAAGAGCCACACAGGAAGACAGAGAGAGAGAGGTGGAGATAATTCCTTAATTCTGTTTAAGCTTCAGTTTCTCCTCACTGCTGCTGCTGCTGGTTGTCCCAGTAAGAGTCTGTGTACACTGCATGCTCCAACAAGGCATGGTAGGCTGCACTGACTTAACCCCATGTGTATACACTCTGAAATTCTTATTTGGGAGACATCTGCAGATTTACTCAACACAAACTCAGTTTATTTTGAGTAATACAGTAATATTATATAAATATATTGCAAACACTTAAGCGGTTGCATTGTTCAGTGTAATTGTGCCATAGCATGCAAATTTCATGATATATTATTCAAACTATGCATTTTCCTCATACAGTTTCCAGCGTTTATTAGCTTGACTTGACACCAGTAGGTATATTTGACCACATATGACATTGTCCTGCATTGCTGTTGAGTGAAAGACATCAGATTATGATGATTTCATACCAGTTAAAGGCATTTGTTAAAGGAATTCATTGTTACTGGGCCTAAAGCTGATTCTGTAAATTGTTTTGCCGAACAAAAAATACTATTAATCTATTTTTTCCTCATTTTCTTCGTTTTAATTCACATTGTTGATTTGGTTCATTACAGTTGGTCCCACCCCCTACTATGTGAGATATTTCTCCGCAGGGGTGTAGGATTACATGTTGAATCCTCAGTAATATAAAACACATGGACAGGACCTATCTGAATACCACTGATGTGGTGGTTTTGTTGCAGTAATTGGTGATAGTTGGCACATTCTGTGGAAGGAGGCTGAATAGAGCACTCTATATTGAATGTTTCAGAGATGCATTAATGTTTCAAAATAATCCCATAAAAGGAAAAAAAAATAACGGTATTTCATTGAATTTAAAATAAGTGTAAGAGTACAGTGATAATATAATGCAGATGACATAAAATAAATGCTTTTTGAACAACTTTAGCAAAAAAACAGTTTGGAGTATTTTCATATGGTGAGGCACTGAGCACATGGTAGTCATACTGATCAGCCCACATGGTTGTCCTGTCTATACTGTGGTTGGCAAGCAGATGGTTTACACAGATTAGCAGCCTCATGAGCAGATTAGCTGAGTTTGCCCACTGCTTTACTGACTGACAAGCTGATATAAATTCTACTTTGCTTTTATTTTGTAGGAGTGATAGAAAAGTCAGCCATTCTAACTGAATACTGACAGGCTGGTTGGTAAATGTGTTTTCCTGTCATTAAGGAGATGCTGTGACAGCTGACTGGATAAATAGGGAACTGTCTGACTGACAGTCTGTGTGACTGGAGGTGGGTCAGCTAAGCCCCCGCCTCAGGCTGACAGGATGGATGCCTTGTCTGAGGGAGTTAGGGCAGAAGTGCGGATGGGCTGGCTTGTTAAGGTGACTTAGAGCAAAATTAATCTGAGCCCCTTTTCTCCTGGCTGACCTGAGGCAGTGGGTCAATAGCATGGTAGCATATTGCTTGTTTTATGGAGCAGACTGTACATGTAAGGGGTTTAGGAGGTATTGGTACAATACCAGTGGAGATGTGCCCTCCAGCAGCCACCTGGATTTGTACTCAGTTTGGCAAATGGTGACCTGGAAATAGAAGCAGTAAATGTGTATATTTCTTTCTATATATACACTCTCCACCCTCTGACCCCCTTATACATGTTTGAACCCCCACTATAAACTCTCCTGACCCACATCTATATTAAACACACAGCCTCCTTGCCTATACACATACAGCAGACAGTAGGGTGGGAAATGAACCACAAGAGTATTTAACATTTATTTCATTTTGTAGGCTACTGTAACAAATAAAATATCAGCCCTGGAATTCCTGTAATTCACACAGGTGTTCTGTAACAAGGATCCCTTCAATTGGTTATCAAATAGGTGGTAGAAAGTTGTACACCCAAAACACAGTGTTGAGTATTGAACAGTTGGACAAATAATGTAATTTATTCAGACTGCACGGGAACATCTGCTCAGCTGTCATGTGTACTCAGCAACTGACAGGCTGAAGAATGTTGTTACCTAACGAATCCACTGCATAAACTGGGATAATAACACTGATGTGTTTTTGTGAAAGAAAATTGACTGGTGGGATGAAGGGGATGAGATGACGAGTCTTCGATTGTATTCTTTTAAAAAAGTCAGTATTGATATACAGAACAGAAAGACATTGTAGTAACCAGGGAATTCATAATATGAATGATTAGAATGTGTGAAACACATTGCACCCTTACAACTGCCATGAAATATATTCTTTTGGATGTGTTTTTAATGTGCACTGTAAGCTATTTTTTAACTATAGTAGATAGAGAGTGGAACATAATGACACTGTGTCCCAATAGCAAACGAGTGTTAGACTATCACGTTACACCACGAAACATTGGAGCTGTCTGTGCACACTGAATTAAATATGCATTTCTGTTACTTCATGTAAACAAACCACTTAGTAAATATCAGCTCTTTGCTCGAGATCAGACTGGAGAATAGGGATGCACAATATTGGATTTTTTGGCGATATCCATTATGCTGATATACAGTACAGGCCAAAAGTTTGGACACACCTTCTCATTCAATGCGTTTTCTTTATTTTCATGACTATTTACATTGTAGATTCTCACTGAAGGCATCAAAACTATGAATGAACACATGTGGAGTTATGTACTTAACAAAAAAAAG